AGCCGTACCGGTCGAACCAGAACGTCGAGTTTCCGTCAGTGAAGGCGAGCTGTGGATTGCTTGTGTTGCAATTGACGTAGCCTTCCCGGTCCACAAGGAGCACTGAGTCATTTGTGTACTTGAAATCTAGGGTAGTCAAAAACATCACGAGTAAAAGTTAGTGTATAATTTCCATTTGCTAGTTAACGTGACATGAACTTTGAGGATGAAGGCAATAGGTTTAACACAAGCATAAATTTTTTTGCCACTTCTGGTAATGAAAAGTACTATACATGTCATAATTCAAAGTGCATATACATAGTCCAAATCTTACTCTATAACTTATCAATTAATTCAACAACTAATCTACTAATCATAACCGCACAAAACATATATATAGTCATCTATTTTTTGTAACGAGAGCTTGTTTCCAATTTTCCTCGTTAGGTATTAATAGAAATGAAACAATATGTATATAATTAACATTTTCACCTTTACGTAAGAGCTATACATGAATATACATTATATCTAACACAAAATGATAGGAAAATCTGTGATCTTACACAAGGAATCGCCAATGTGGAAGCGATTTCTCCCTGCCCAATCGTTATAAGTCTCGGTCTCCTCCTCTACGGGCTTCACCCAGCCCCTCGGTCCTCCCACACGATACTCATGTGCCGATGCAGCTGAGACCATCGACAAGGAAATCAAGAAAGCTAGAAAGAGCGCTTTGGACATTGTGGGAATAGCTTGCTGGAATATGTACGAGCAGAAACAAAGAAGAGCTTTTAAGTTTTTATTGATGAAAATTTGAGAATTCCGTTGAGCTGAGGGAAGCAGTATTTGGATATTTAAAGGGAGAAATGGAGGGAAAAGGTGGTTAATTACAAAGTTAGTTTATCTCGAGTGGTGGGATAGTGGTGCGGGTAAGTGGGGATGTGGTGCGAGAGTGGGGACGGTTATTACTGTGATACGTGGCGGAAATCTGCACGTTGATAGGGGAACTCAAAGATTAAGGTTGCTCAGTTGAGTGTTTGCCTGTTTGGGGTAGTTTTAGAGGGGAGGGTGTGGGTCAAACAACAGCAATGAAATAATTTAATTCCCTATTTGGGGTCAACCAGATGTGGACCAGACCCAGTCCTATCCACAGTAAGATCTCCACTGGGGCTACGCCTTTGAGCCTTATGGGGCAACAAAAAAAAAAGGGGGGGGGGGGGGGGGTTAGCCTAGCCTAGGTCGGTGTAGCATACTGCAGTTCTTATTCCATAAATAAAAATTAATGAAAAATCTAAAGAATAAAAAACTAACTAAGCAAATTACATGGGCGTAAATAAATCATTAGCTTTTCTACATAAGACAGAAACAGAATATGCTCCTGACAATTGGAATTAGTTGAATGCAACTCCTAGTTTAGTAAAGTAAATTAGTAACTTTTTTTGGATATATAGATGATTTAATTAGTTACTTAGAAATATGAGACGTGCACCCAACCAAAGTTTATGTTGTTCAACTTGATTATGTATATAATTTTTATAGCTGAATGAAAAAGTATTTTAGAATAATAATAGCGAAGCCTTTATCTAAAAATCTTAGAATCGATCAGCTATATTCATACATGAATATGATTCTTCTATGTATTTTACATATAAGAACTCGAGATAATAATACATGACTTCGAATTTCATACATCATGAAAGAGTCTATGTACTACCTATCACTCTCTTTTGAATTCATTTGAAATAAAGAGAAAGTATATCTCAATTAGCATAACTTTAGTTTACAAACCAGTACGTAGCATGGTTTTTGTTGGATATTTATTGGAAAAAGTCATCATTGCTAACTAATAACCAATTAATCCTCCTTTAATTCCCCTTAAATCCCTTCTTTCTCTCTCGTGCCTTTAACAACCACAGCTGTCTTTTGACTCATTCCCCCCTTTCCTCTCTTAAACATCTCTCTAATCACTCCCTGAAGTGGTTTTTTAGAGAACAACTTTGCTCTCGGGAATGAAAAGAAGAAAGAATAAAAGAAAGAATAAAAGAAGGAAATGAAAAGAAGAAAGAAATATATAAACAAATCTTCTCATCTCTTCTGCCAATGAAATTTCTCTTTGAAGTTATTGTTATTATTATACTTTTACGGGCAATCTTCTTCATCGAGCAGAAGCTCCGTACTCTCGCCCGAGTACGAAGGCCGGCCGTTTTCGGGGGCTTTTACCGCTAGGGGAGAGGGAACCATTTGCGCCAGGGCGATAGGCGGGTTCTCAATCTTCTAGGGCAGTGATTACACGACTGCTCCCGTCAGGCCTGAATTTCATACCTCTTGTTTATTTTAATTTGGGATTTATTTCATGTTAAAATCTTAATTATTTGATAAACTTATAACAATCTAGAAGATTGAGAATTTAGTATAGTTGTTTAATTATTAAATTCGGAAAATATATATTTCTTTCTGTTTAAAAAAAATTATTAACTATTTTTTTTTGTTGAATAACTTCATTTGTAACGCTACATGAATAATGTGTTACAGTCTTGTTATCATATCAATATCATGCGTCAGTTAAAGCTTATAATATGCCCACAAACATTATTATGTTGGTTGCATGCATGATAACCATCAAGCTCATAGCAATGTGATCACATGCTCACAAAGTGATATCTAATCCATTTGTTTCCCTATGTAACAGTTTTTTTTAACAGTTTCCGTTACTGTTAATTTAAAACCATACTTTTTATTTTATAGTAAAAATTTTACTGTTCATTAAAAAACTGTTTACTATTTACATATAGAATCATTTTTCTTGTTCATAAAAATGCAATTAATGTTCATTCTAGGAAAATACGGTTTCTATAACCATTTTCTTACTTTATTTTAATTGCTATGATTAATTATAATTAATTAATGTCACTATAGCAATTAAGTTTTCATGATAGTTACTGTAGCAAATTACAATGTCATTCATAAAGAGTAAAAGTGTAAGTCCTGTTCGACATTTTGCATAATTTATGTGAATGTGTAAATTATTTATTTTACATAACAGCAATCATTATGATCTCTTAATAGCTAAATCTGTAATTAATTGTTTTAATTACTATTATTTATTGCATTTATTGCATTAATTTAATTGTTATTAATTAAATTGTAATTAATTATTACTAATTAAGTTTGACCGTTAATTACAACTTGTTTGTTGTTGTCATTAAACCTTATTTTGATTATATGCACGCATTTGTAACTTATTCTTGAAAGTCTCATGTTCATGGTTTTGACAAGAATAGAGAGAACAAACGCTAGATGCATAGATGCTTTGAAATATCTGGATTTGTTCATGGTTTAATACTTTCATTTCTTTAAGCTATCAATAATATGGTGCCTTCTATTAATAATTCCATACTTTAGTGTATTTATGCATCTAATAAGCTTAGTACAGAAGGTGGTAAAAGTGAATGCAAATTTGTTCAGCAACTTCTGTGGCAGTTGTCCGTAGCAGATGGGTTTTTACTCTCAAGACATGAAAATCATGAGGTTCAAACATCAATAGGTAAACCCCTCCTCGGCCTTATCCAACATATGTTTACAGTATAATTGCTAGGCAATTTAAATGATTGCAGGAAATAATTTAAAGTTTCTATATACTGTTAAGGAACAAAAACTCATTGAGTGAACCGATTCAAGTTTTCTTGGATTAGTTGGTGTTTAAGGCAATGTTTAAGGGTTGCGTAACGCGCTCTGCAATGAACGATGTACTTAATTGATCTTTGATCAACCTCTATTACTATCCTTACCTGGCTAACTACCCGGGTAAAACTTTAATCTTTTCACTTTAGGACTTTTTGGTTTGGAATAAGAGGACCGGAATTATGAGGATAATTCATATGCATTTATTTAATTACGCTTCTTGTATCATATATTGCATAATGCTAAATGATCAATATATGAGCGAACCAAATCAAAGAGGTGCATCTTTTAAAATTCTATTTTATATGGTGGTAGCGAACCAAATCAAAGAGGTGCATCTTTTAAAATTCTATTTTATATGGTGGATTATATTTCAAATCTTTAAATGTAAAGTTCAAAGAGGTGCATCTTTTAAAATTCTATTTTATATGGTGGATTATATTTCAAATCTTTAAATGTAAAGTCCATCTCTTTTATTGCATTATGATGGATATTGCAATAAATATTCATATGTCTTTTTGGATAACTTGCATTTGTTACATGATTAATTACAAGGTTTTATGCAAGCACTAGTAGAAAACTGATCAACCTAGACGGAAATTTTCGTCTAGGTTGATCCAAATTTCGTCTAGATGAGTTCATATAGACGGAATTCCGTCTAGTTTGGATGGTTTATTTTGCTTCCGTCTAGATTGAGTCAAACTAGACGGAATTTCGTCTAAGTTGATCAACCTAGACGGAAGTCAATCTAGACGGAATAAAGAATTCCGTCTAGTTTGACAGACCAGACGGAATTCCGTCTGGTCTGTCAAACTAGACGGAAATTCCGTCTGGTATAGCAGACCAGACGGAATTCCGTCTGGTCTGCTATACCAGACGAAATTCCATCTGGTATGTCAGACTAGACGGAATTTCGTCCGGTCTGCTATACCAGACGGAATTTTCGTCTAGGTTGGTTTTTCACAACCTAGACGGAATTCCATCTAGATTGACTCAATATAGACGGAATTCCGTCTAGGTTGCCTTTTTTCCAGCAAAAAAAATTTAATTAGAATTTATACTTTCCTGTACAATTACATTAATAAATACATCCAGAAAATACTGTACACGTGAATACATTCAACCATCCAGTTATAATCAAAATTCATAACAATTCCATCCAAAAACCAAATATAACCACATCCAACACATTGTACAAATATCCAACCATCCAGTCTCAAAATATACTCAATCAGTTCCGTCTATACACATCCAACAACATATTATACTAACAATGCCACATGACTAGATATGGATACACGGACATGAATATGTAGTTTTATAACAAATAAAAACTGTTTATTGCATTAAAAATAAAAAACCTCATCCATTCGTCGTCCGCGGGGTATCTCTATCCCGATTGACGGTAACGGGTGCTGCTCCCTCCATTATCTCACTCTGAATGTTTTAATTGAATAATCATTATGTGGTGTTTTGTGATAACATATTAGATGTTTGTGTGGAAAATTGCAAATAATAAAATAAATGAAAGACTGTTCCTATTTGATTTTATTCTCTTTCTAATGTTAGAGAAAAAAGAATTGTTTACAACTCTCTCCTTCTCATTTACAATTGGATTTCGTTTAAACAAAGAGAGAGAATGATCGTAGATTCTCATCCTTTTGTTTAATTCTGGTTCTTCTTGGTTAGCGATGAGATGCTCCCTCGAATGCTCGGGCGAGTTTGCTTCTCGTTTGGACGATCCGACTAATATCTATTACTCACTTGGAACAACTGTCTTTGGCTTATGTTGATTGAACTTTGTCGAGTTTTGTGACTCAGAACAAGTAATAAACTCTAATGCACAAGAGTTCCCGATCTCGAACCCGAAAATAATTCGGTTGATAAGCCCAACTATATCGCCCACGGCGTTTAGAGATCCTTCCGTTGTTGATCCCAGACCTTGTTGTAAAATGGTACCGCTCAATCCTCCTTTTGTTGCATTCTGAAGATCTGATCGAAAGATTCCCTCCGATTAATGAAAAGAAATCTCTCTTGATCTGATTATTCAAAAATCCGATCCCCCCCCTAACATCTGTTGAGTTTGTTGATTATTTATAGGGGGATTAGCGGGTTGTAATGCGCCCC